CCCCAGCAGCCTCACTGCTGCCCTGAAGCTTTTAGGAAGCATATCCAGCTTCTGGGAGCAGCCAGCACCCCAGCTTGCCCTATCCCAGACAGGCAGGGACCACTTGCCTCTTGTCTGATTGCCTGGGGACACCTTAAATATGGGCTAAGCTCTCTCACTGGATCCAGGGACCCCTGTTTGTCTCTCACCCAACACATACCCAGTAGGAAGCCTACCCCAAGGCTTGGGGAGCAGTGGCTTTGGCTGCCTGCAGGGGAAAGAGCTGCACTGGGCTATGATGCCATGAAACCTTCGCAGTGTCGTAAACGCGCGCGCGCAAACACCCTGGAGAAGACAGACGTGCCCTTCCCGCCACACCTAGGCACAGGGAAACACCCACGAGCACATACACTGCTCACACACCACTGCACATCCACGGGTAGCAACACGCGCCGACAGGCGTGTACTGCACGGCACCACACACGAGGGGTTTGGCACACACCAAACCACACGCACACAGCAGCACACAGATAGGGGCACACACACACGGCCCCCACTCCCCTCCCTGCCAAGGAGGCCGGAGGGGAGTGGGGTGTGCCCTGGCCCTGCGGACGCACAGACAGCACAGGAGCCACAGACGGACACGCGCCCCCGCGGCCCACATACAGGTGGCTGCTGCGTGGCTCCCACATCGACATGTGGTGTCTCCTCCGCCTGTCTCTTCTGGGGAGGAAAAACAAACGGGTTCAATACCCCCTTCACCCCTCCTTCCACTCGTGTGGGCAGCACAGAGAGGTGTTCCCCACCCTGGGCAGCCGGCATCTCTTTGCCTATGGGCTGCTGGGATGCCGGAGTGCAGCAGCTGGCAGCGAACCCTGCAGGTACCCAGTGAACTCCCACTGGCACGCTGGCAATGGGCTGCCCACACTCACACTGACACGCTGTGATCCATTTCGTGGGGTCCATGGAGCCTTCCCCACACCATGTAGAGGGAGAGCAGGGCAGGCTGCAGTCCTCCAGAAGCCCCAATACATCCTTGGGTATTCAACAGCTGTTTCAAACTGCTCCAAATTCACTTTTCCCAAGAAACACGTGGCAATCGGAAAGAGGAAATGATGCCTCGGGCCAGCCCTGAGCTGCTCAGAGCCGTCACCATGGGTTGATGCTGCCCTAGGACTGCAGAGGGGAACGTGAAGCCCCCCAGCAAATGCAAGGCACAAGCCCAGAGTGATGCCATAGAGCTTCTGTCACCTGAGCCGCCCCCACATAGAGAAGGTTAACAGGGCTGGCAGTGTTCTTCACCCCCACCAGCAGCTGGGTAGATTCCAGGCTTTATCCTCTGTATTGGCACAGAAAAGATTCGTATACACACAGCTCCAAGAAAACTGCCCCGAGAACATGCAGCCATACAATAGTAGAATATCTTGAGTTGGAAGAGACCCATAAGAATCATCAAGTCCAACTTCTGGCCCTGCACAGAACACCCCAAGAATTGCACCATGTGCCTTAGAGCATTGTCCAAACATTTCTTGACCTCTGGCAGGCTTGGGGTCATAACCACTTCCTAAGAGTTTGAAGCCATTCTCCCTTGTCCTATTACGTATCAAAACCCACCCTTGCACAAAGTCCCTCTCCAGCTCTCTTGCAGCCCCTTTAGGGACTGGAAGGTGCTCTAAGGTCCCCCCAGAGGCTTCTCTTCTCCAGGCTGAACAACCCCAACTCTCTCAGCCTGTCTCCATAGGAGAGGTGCTCCAGTCACCCTGGTGATCACAGCCTCTGTACAGTCACGTTCATGGGAAGAGCCCAGTGCCACACTCAAGGTCAGGGTCAAGTTTCAGGCACCCACCGCCATCCCCGCAGCAAGTGGCCGAGCCTTCGAACGCATCCACGCACTGCGTTAGGCACCAACACATGACAGCACCCGCATGCATCCATCTGGCCACCCACTCAGCAAACAGCCCCGAGCCATCTGCACCGCCGGCACCCGTGTACGAAGACAATACTCCGATCGGCACCGCAGCCACCCACGCCAACCTGGCCACGTGGGAGCACTCCTCCCCGCGCGCCGCCGGACCTCTCCGCGGGCAGGAACGCGTGTACCAACCTGCCTGCGCTGGGTACCCACATAGAAATGATGCCATCTGTGTCTGTACACACCCAAAGGCAGAGACCGGCTCAGCGTCACCGCTCTGAGCTTCCAACAACAGCCCTTTGGTAGCGGCTCTGCTCTGGGTTGTCTCTTGCTGTGTTGTCCCCACCGTCCCTCCCCAGCTGCTGGCATCAGTGCAGCACCACCAAAAGCACATCAGACCTGATGGTGGCAATGGTCATCCCCATGGCACTGCCTTGTCCCTGACCCTATCCATCCTGATGAGTGGGAGGAGCTGGAAAAAAGACCTGGGAATATAAATACCTTCCATTTCAATGTCACTAGAACAACAAGAAAAGGTTAAAGACATCTGTTTTTCCAACCAGCTCTATCTACAAAGCCTAGAAAACTCTAGCAGGGATGTGCAGCGTGGGCAAATCCTTTACTGCCCTAATATATTCCATCTCCCCCTCTTCCTCTCTCCTATCTGTCCATTCTCCAGCCTCTTCTGCAGCCTAAATCCCTCTATTCCCTCGCTTTATCCAACACATTCCCACTGGTAGCCAGAGACAGTCACGACACACAGACTCCACCATCTCTCCTGCAAACCCCCCTAGTTCTTGCCCAGGCACAGATTTATTATGAACATCCCATCACCCCCAAACCAAGATGATATCTGCAGCTGCTGAGAGATCAAGCAGGACCTACAAGTGCCCCCAGGTCCTGCTGCCCCTAAAACCACGCATGATGCACACAGGATGGGAGACCACTGCATCCCACTGCTGCCAAACCAGGGAGGGGGCCGTTCCCAATGCTGCCTCCAACCCCCCCCAGATCAGTGCTCGCCTGAAGACAGCAGTTTCTCTCAGCAAATCTGCAAGAGATTCTACTGTATATGAGCTTGGCTGGCTTTCAAAGCATAGCGAAACCTAAAATTCCCTGGGAAGGGATTCTATAAAAAAAAAAGAGAGAGAAAAAAAAATAAAATAATCCTTTCAGCTGTACTGAAATGTACTGTTTTGGGAAACAAATCAAAACGCCTCGTTCCAATGTTGACTTTGAAAGTTTTATGTGATTTAGACCATATGACACTGCAAAATAAAGAGAAAAAAAGGCATCTAGAAGGGAAAAAACAGAATTTTCTCCTGCTGGAATGCAGAGACAAGGCTCCTTAACACCATGCTGGAGGTTTATGTAGTTTGGGGCTTTTTTTTTCCTTGCCCAAATCAAATTTCTGTACAATCAAACATGGTTTCGTAAACCTGCTCCATCTCTCATAACTGCATTCGCTCCCAGGGAAGGAGCCAGGGGAAGATTTGTGACACCACTGCTCCCTTCTCCCCCAGCCCTGGCTGCTCTCCCACAGCTCTGCCACAAAAAAAATGCTCCCCAGGAACAAATATCACCCATCCTCAAGAATAAATTGAGATACCTTCCTCCACCCCAGCTTCCTTGCCCACCCCTAGCAGCAGCCCTGAGCGTTTGAGCTCTATATTTGGGGCAGAAAGCCTCTTTTAGCATATTTCTGCCATGCCCAAGCTCTGAGGCTGCTGCTTCGGGTAGGGGTTGCAAACTCAAGGTCCTCCAGGATGACCTGATCCTCGCACTCTCAGTTCTCCAAAGGCACTGCTGCTTGTGGGCAGCGCACTCCTAGATCTCCATCCATCCATCCATCCATCCTCTGGAAGACACTCAGAGAGGGACACCCCACACAGGGACCCTTTTTTCTTGTGGTAGCCCCCACAACCAGCTGTGCCAGGCTCTGCTGCAGCTCTGTGCCCTTCTGAGAAGCCTGGCTGGGCTCAGGGGGTCACCAGGGTAGCAGTGGGGGGTGGGGGTGGTCACTCACTCGATAGCAGGCATGTTTGGGGCAGACATGGGGCTGACTTCTTTGGCTTTCTGAAGGGCATGCTTCTGGTTAAAGGCCTCCTCTTCCTCTTGCTCATCCTGCAGAGGAAAAAGGGGAGTTGCTTAGTGCAATGCCAGGATTTCAAGGGAAAGTGCAAGGAAGCAGCAAGGGATGCACAGGGCTACCCTAGATGCCAAGGTGTGAGGCATAAAGGAGGACCTGTATTTCCAGACACAGCCTTTATTCCTTTTGTGCTATGGGCACACAACTTCCCCACTACACCAGATCTTACCGAAGGCGTCAGTGCTACTTAAATAAGTGAACCCAGCCCACTCCAGGCAGCAGCTGGGCTGGGCATGCTAGAACAGCCCCAAGCAGCATAGACCAGCTCAGCCCTCCCTTCTTCACAGCCAGAGGGGCTAGACAGGCATCCCCCCAACAGAGTGGGAGGCAAAGCATCCATGAATGACCCCGGCAGAGACCGGATTGCTTTAATGAGTATGGTTGTGTCTCCGGAGCAAAAAATGTCATTAGGAGTCATTAGCGTGAATTCAGCCTTTTCAAAAACTCAGTGCTCTCTTAATTGATGCTGCTGGTATGCCCGCGGGGTGTTCCTATCCCTCTCACCCCAGCGCAGTCGGCAGCCCCTGGAAGTGCCATCTGCACCCACTGTGGGAGGACAGGGACCCCCACACGTACCCCTCCGGCAAACCAACACCATGCACCATTACAGGTCAGATTTACAACAGCCTGGAAGTCTCTCAGTGAGCCCCAGGGACATGAGTAATAGGCATGGGCTCTACAAAAATCCAAGCACCACTGGGATCACTGGTCTGCTCCAAAGAGCAGCAATGACCCCTGCAGTTCTCACCTACTCACCCTTATCCAGATGCTGTCCAAACAATTCAACATTCCCCAAATATTTCCCAGCATGGTCTTAAAAACAGCTAAGCCAAATAACCTTCTTAAGCACCAGCCTAAATTGCATCCTAAATCACGTCTGCTGCCCTGAGGGCAGATGGGGAATAAATACTGACACCACCAGAAAGTGCTTTCCACTCCAGAGCGCTCAGGCATCCCCACACCAGACCCCACCCAGCAGATGAGGGTTATCTCTGTCTGACCAAAGGCAAACAGAACTGGGGAGCTAAAGTGGAGAAATAGTTAAAGCCACACTTGAAGTGTTGGTGTTCCTGGAGAGATCACCAGTTTAAGCACTTTCCTAAATCAACGTCTGAATGGCTTTGCCACCACTCTTTTCACATGAGAAGGAAAAGGAGCAGCAGGACCTACCTTGGTGAGCTCCTGAGCATTGGCCAAGTTGTCCACCGCGATGGCCAAGAAGACGTTCAGCAGAGTATCTGTGAGCAGCTAAGGATGCACAAGCTGTGTGTTAAGGACATGTGTGTCTGCAGCTACCAAGGGAAGGTGGCCCTGAGGCTCCTCGCCAGCTCAGCGAGGAGTAGCCAAAGGCAGAAACTCCTCACCCATCCCATATAAACAGCCCTCAGTGCACCTCCAGACAGTTTCTTCTCTGCATTTGGGATACCCAGTGCTGCAACGTGTGATGGGTCTCCCTCAACTGGGAGAGGAGTGGGTAGGGAGGGGGATACCTCCAGAGAGGGTGATGAGATAGGGTTGTCACCACTAAAAGCACAACAGTCAGGAGGATACAGTTTCCAAACAAGGTGAGGACGATGAAATAGATGGAGGACCACATCCCTGAGCGAACACCTCCCTGGGAACGGATGCCGTTGTACATCACCTCGTTCCAGTCCTCACCTGTTAGGATCTACAGGAAAGCAAGACAACAGCTCTGTCACCTGCACAGCCCCCTCAGTCTATCCCACCAACACACAGGAGCCAAGTACAGAGACCCTGTGCAGTGGACAACCCAGCTGTACAGCTGCAGCATCTGAGGGAAATGATCTTAGACACTGATGAGGATTTAAGTCTCCTCAGAAGAATTTTAAAACTCTTCACCTTCTGTAACAGAGGTTAAAGAGTTTCCATCTCTTGCTATCAACTTGGTTATACAGGAGAGGGAGAAAGTGAGTTATACTATAACAACTGATGGAGGTGAACCTCTTTAAACCAAGGTTCCCCTCCATCAGCTGTTAGGATATAAACCTTGGTTTATAGAGTCCATTCCAGCTAGAGGGGAATGAGCAAGTGGACCCAGGTCCCTTTGATTGTGCCCCCTTGCAGCCCAGCTCCTACCTGAAAGACTGTCATGATGGCAGCGGGGAAGGTGTCGAAGTTGGCTGATGGAGTTCCATCCATGAAGTTAAACCTGGAAAGGGAACCAGGTGAACATAAATGGGATGAAATACCAAGGTCATCAAACTCATGGCTGCTGTACTCTCAAGCTCTCTTGTGTTTAGGAGGACTTTTTCCCCACTCTAGGAAAGGTCTCCTGAGCATTTGGTGGCAGACCCCAAAAGGTCTCTGGCTAGGACCCTCACAGACCAAAGGCATCCCTCTAGCAGGGAGTTTTGTGTGAGAGAAGTACCACTGTTAAGAGCAGACTGAGGGGCAAGGCTACAGTCTCCCTAGGTTCCTAAGAGAGTGCCATCATATGGCTTTAACACCAGATATTCCTATTCCTCAGACTTGAAACAACCTACCTGCCTCCAAACAGCTGCATTCCCAACAGGGCAAAGACTACAATGAAGAGGAAGAGAAGGAAGAGCAGACTGATAATAGACTTCATGGAGCTCATCAGTGAGACCACCAAATTCCTCAGGGATGCCCAATACCTACAAAACAGAGACATTGCTGGAGCACTGGCAGTAATGCTAACATCAGCAGCAGGAGAGCAGGAGGACTGGATCTGGGCTGCAGCCACTGTCTGAGATGAAGGCTGACAGGCATTGACAGTTGGTACGCACTTGGTTATTTTAAATATCCGCAGGAGACGAAGGGCTCGTAGGACACTGATCCCAAAAGAGGTTCCTGGTCTGAAGATAGCCCAAACCACTTCGAAGATGCTTCCCACCGTGACCTGAGAAGCAGACAGCCATGAATCAATGACAGGCTCAGAATGGGCTGTTGCAGGAAGTCTTCACATGCCTGAAGATGAGGTACCCACCACCCTGCCCATGACCTGGTGCCTCATATTGGCATGGACAGGCTGTACCAGAAGAAAGAGCTCTCCTGCCCAACTGTGAGTGCCATCTCATTCTCCTGCTTTGTGCCTTGCACTGAAGATCTCTGCCAAACATCTCTCCCTGCACCCACAGCATCTCTGGAGATGCTTACCCCACAGTCGAAGCAGTTGAAGGAAGAATGGAAGTAAAGACGCGGCCCCATTCCGTACATCTTCAAGGACATCTCCAGAAGGAAGAGCCCAAGAAACAGGAACTCTGCATAGTCTGAAAGAGAAAACCAAATATGCTACCCTTGGGGCACTGAGCTGCATGAAGCATCCTGCATGCACCCACCAGTCGCCCATACCATAGAGATGGAACAAGTCATACACCACGTTGATCCCCAAGCTCTCAGAGTTTGGGATGAGGGAAACTTGCCTGCGAGGAGCTAAATTGTATATAACAGAACATTAACCCCACAAGTTAATCATTCGGGGCAGATGCAACAGTATCCCAGGAGTTTGAGAGGACCAGCATGGAGCAGAGCAGCTCTTCAGCATTATAGGACAGTGGTTGAAGCGTCTGCAAAGGCATCAACCACGCAACACTGGAGGGAAATATTAGCAACCTGGATTTAAATCGTTGCACTGCTGGAACTCTGCCAGGGAAACTGAGCCGAACAGCCAAGAACCACTGAAAAGCTTCTCCAGCTATTTCACGAACATTTAGCAGGCAAGAGCCTGGCTCTTCACCTTGTCCAGAAGATGCTTCTCACCATGACCAGCTGCTGTACCACACCATGGCATGCTGGGATCCCAGCAGGCCTGAGCATACTACTGCAGATTTGAGTAGACACAGTGTTTGATGGGGACGTTTTCAAGGTGAGTAAGAATAACTGCTGCTGCTGAAAGCAGCACTGTCCTGACTGCAGCAGCTCTGGGGTGACACACAACTGTCATGGGGTTGACCATGCTGCTCTGCAGTTAGCACCATGCTAGAATAGACATGGGTGTAGTGCCTCTGAGATCTGACCTTATACCATGGCCCACAGTGGGCTGAGGGATGCTCTGCACCAAAATTTTAACCAGGGTGTTCTCCCATGACCAGTCCCATCCCTGCAAACTCATGTCTTTCCAGCAATTGCTTATGGGCATACAAAGATGGATCTCCATCAAGCTTTCCAACATCACTGTTCATAATTTTAGGATAAACCCCACTGAGACCCGCAGTCTATTTCTCTCTAGAAGGACATGAGGCCAGTACAAGTCCTCCACATTTGCTCACAGGGCTGAGAAAGCCCTTGGGGGCCATTGGGCTCAGGGCAAAGCTGAATTCAAGGGGTGTACACAGCCCTTTGTTATCAACAGTGAATGTAGTTCAGGTTATTCCCCATCCAGCTCCATACCAGCACGAATGAATCACTCTGCTGGGATTCATTCCCATGTGCCCTGAGGTAGGGAGTGAGGCTGTGCTGCAACCTCCTGCCACTGGAGATAAGAAGGTTTTGCCTGCCCAAGCAGTTCTTTCACACCTGCACAGTGCCCAGGAACTTACAGAGGAAGTGAGTGAGCCAGGCTGGCTGGTTGTGATGGACAATGGCCACGCAGGCAGTGTTGAGGGCCACCAGGCTCAAGACGATCCAGTAGAAGACCTGGGATTTCACCATGTGGCGGACAGAGATGCGCAGGAGTCGCTCCTTATGCCGTAAGTAGGAGGCACCGTCCACTCTGGCGCCTTTGAGGCCAGATTGACTCAAGGGGTTACCTAAAGGAAAAGAGAAGGGACAAGGAGTTGGGTGCTCTGGTCAAGGCTTCAGCCTTCACTGCAACATGAGACAGGACAGGTGGCTCACAGACACTGCTTTTATGGGACACAACTTATCCAGACAGTTTTTATGTGGCACAGGGAGCAGCAGGAGGTTTGTCTCCTTTGCTGCCAAACTAGCAGAGATGGCTGATCTATGGCTGTCTTCGTGTGATAGGTGTGATTCTGGCAACTCAGTAAGCTGACAGAGGTTTTGGGGAAGCAAGCTGCAAATTGAACTGACCCAAGGTTGGATGAAGAGGTCTTCTCTGCGCCAGCCTCCGCTCGCCTACAGAGGAGATATCGACACAGTGCTCATCACTCGAGTCACGGTTCATGGCATCCGTCCGGTTCCTTTTGATGGTGGCTCGCCTGAGCACTGGGTGGGGAAGAGGAATGGGTGTTGGAATCTCAGGGGCCTAGCTCTGCCACTAGCCAGCTCTGCCACTAGCCAGCTCATTGGACCAGGACCTGGTGATCTGTACTCAGGTCTGGCAACAGGATGGACACACACAAGGCAAACCTAGTCCAGAGCTATCCTTTGTGTGGGATCAGACACCTCCCACCTGCATGTTCTCTCAGGAGTTACGCTGTCAATCCACCTCCCCACACTCCTCTCTTGGGCTGCAAACCTCACTGGGGCATCCCCAGACCTCCCATCATAGCTGAAGGGTCTCAGCCTCCAGCTATAGGCAGGCAGAAGGAAGGGCAGGCAGATTTTGAGGCAGAGCATTGCTTGTCTTACCGTCTAAGGCTGAGGTCCCAGAATTTTTGTTCTCTTCAGCCAGCATGACTTCCTCTATGCAAAACACACAGTTCAGCATCAGGAGACGAGACACCAGTGGCCAAACACATGAGACATCACTGGTTTGCACCCGAGCACTTTGCCCAGCCTGGACGCTGGCTCTAGGTTGCAAACTGTTATCAAGTATTGGTTAAGTGACCAAACGCAAATTCTAGAGAGTGACAAGTGGCAGCTACCACAGATTGTGTGAGAAAGAAAAATTAATTGTAACCAACCCTTCTTCTTCCACTGTTATTAACCCCACTAAAGAAGCTGAACATTGTAGACAAGTCTGGGGCTGAACAACCCAACCCAGGTCCAAAGCTGAGATCTGAGGCTCAGGACTCATTTCAAGACACCCATCTTTTTTCAAGTATGATTGCTAAATGAAAGTGTAAATCTTCCCTTCCCAGAGCTGAACACACTGACATGATCTCACAAGGGGCAAGCAAGGACACATGCTGTGGCAGTTTGGAAACCAGCACCCACAGGCTGTCACACCTGGCTAAGTGTCAGCAGAAAACCTGGAACCTCCACCCCCCCTCCCCAGCCCTTGCCCAGGTCCAGGAGCCCTAAGGTAGAAACAGGTAAGTACATTCCCTCCAGACTGCTCCATGAAGAGATTTAGCTGGAAAACCACTGTCACCATTCACTGCTCTACTTTCCCACTACCCACCACTGCAAACGTCAAGAGAAAGGAAACCATTGCAGAGCAAAGCTGACAGCTATGTTGTTTTTACAGCCTCCCCTGGAGATGTAACATGCCTTGTGCTCAGAATATGACAGTTTCATGCCACAGAATGTGAGGCTTTATCAGTGGTTGGTGATGTCCTTGCTCGTAGCCTGGCTGGACCATCACACCAAGCTCACCCGTACACCCAACATCACCGTGTGAGCACTTGAGCCACTTTGGGGTTGCACTGGATGATGCTCAGGGATCCCACTCCATCACCACCGCCCTGCAGCAGCCTGGGGTGCCCATCATACCCCCAGACACCTCTGGCCCATCAGCCTTTACCCGCTTTGTCTATCCATGCCCTGTAGCCATTGAGCTCCCGCTCGATCTGCTGCTGGCGCCGCAGCTTCATGAAGGCTCGGCGGTTCTCCACTCGCTCACGCTCTTTGGCAAACTCCCTGGGGAAGGGCAGAGGGGAGTAGTCAGAGCAGGTATGAGGCACAGCAAGATGCACAGTGGCCTGGGGAACCATGGGGATGGCAAAGAACAAGGGTTTGCCAAGGCAATTGCTGGGGACATGCATGGTCATCGTCAGACAAAGCACGGGCAGGGAATTGGTGAAAAATCAGGGAGGAGAGAAAGCTTCTTTGCAGGAGGAGAGGCATGGATGGATGTGAACAAACCTGCCCTGACCAATTTCTCAGCCCTGCATGCCCTGGCTGGGAGCTGCTGCCATTCAGGGAGGATGGTCCCAACACCACCTAACTCCAAAACTGGCTCAGCTTCTGTGTGTGTCCCTTCAGGGAATAAAAAACAGGCACTGTGCAGAGGCAGTGAGGGGACAGAGGAGGGCAGGTCCTGTCCCCTGCCTTTATCTTCTCAATCCTTTTACTTTCCAACATCTTGAAGAATTTTCTCAGGAGGGAGGGCAGGTCCTGTCCCCTGCCTTTACCTTCTCAATCCTTTTTCTTTCCAACATATTGAAGAATTTTCTCAGGACTTAAGACATCCCCCTGTTGTCCTCCTCTGGATTTCAGTGTCTCACAAGAACTGTCCAGAGAAGGACAACAGCTTGGGGCAGCTCTGCAGTGGGCAGGAGAGCAGGCAGCACCACAGGGGCTCCACACAGACCAGGGCATATCAAACACTGAGCAACACTGGCCAGAGCTAACACCATGCCTGCTGCAACCTCTAACACATGGTGCACAGGGGCAGTAGCATCTGCATGCTCACATGCATCCCTAAGCACACAGGTAAACACACTCCTCAGTACATATGATTTCACCTATAGCCCAGCCCATATGCAAAGGCCACCAAACACATACAGAAAAATGGAAATATTTGGCAGGGAACACAGGACTGGCAATGCAGGCAAACTTCACACCACACCATGGTTTATATGTAAAATAATAGGGCCAGACCTGCTTCTAGAAGGTCCCACACACCATGTACCTGGGGTATCTTGATCCACAAGTTACACCTCCACTGATGATCACATTTGCACACAAAGAGCATCCCTCACACCAGATATCCCCCCCAGCACACCCTTCCTTCCTTGCTACAACATCAGGGGGCTGCAAACTGCTGGCTGCAGCTCCTCATTCTGTTCCCAAGTTCCAGCAGCCACAGAACTCCAGCCCATGCCCTCAGCCCCCTCCTAGTCTCAGGGTACTCTGAAAGAAGCATGATTACAAAGAACAAATGGCACTGCTCTCTCTGCAAGATGAACATCTCTCTCCCCAGAGACCAGGAGCAATCTCAAGCCTCAAAATAAAATAAAAAAAATATTCAAAAGAACTGAAAGAACTGGTCTGTCTGCTGCAGAGAGAGTTCAAGTGCATTTCCCTAGCTGAGCTATTACACCCTTGATGCTGTGTGGGCTTCTGCATGTGTGTGTGTGTGCACATGTTTGTGTGGAAAGCCCTGAATGTTCCCTGCATCTCTTGTTTAAGATCCCCAGACAATTCAAGGGCTTTTAATTCCACCCCAGGAAGGTGAGGTTTCCTGCCGCTCTGGCATTAAGCATCAAATGACTCTCCCCCTCCAGCACTGGCTTTCAGACTGAAATGAGACTTTCTTCCCAGGGCAGGGAAGGGGGAGTGAACAAAAGGCAAGGAAG